TTTTCCTTTATTACACTGTTCTAAAGCCTTTTAGTATAAGCCTTCATAAAACCTCACATATATGCATTATAAAATTACAGGGAATAAGTTCCATATGAAAAATTCATCATATTTTTTCTATTTTTTAGAAGAGATTCTGATATTAAGCATGAGAGCAACAGACATTGTTTTACTTCTTCATTGTGGAAAGGGAAAAAAATCTACTTTTTGCTTTTGTTTAAGAAAGATTTTTTTACATACTCCCTCTTTGCAGTCTGCCCCTTACAAAACCAAAAAAGGATTTTAGACTGACAAAAAGTAACCACAATTATATGGAGTGTGTCATTGATAAATTCCAGGGGAATACAACAGGCTAGGTAGGCACATACCATTCGATCTAGCTGTTCAAAATCTTAAAATTCTAGCCAAGTTTAAGCTGGACTGTTTGACCACACCAGACCTCAAGACTGCACTTAATTTTTAAAAGGCTTGATCTCACTCTAGGCTTAGGCTATAAGCAAGTAACTCTTTCAAGGGAGTATTTTACACAGCAGCCTATCTTTAAACATGTGCTTAAGTCTCTTGAAGTCACTAAGTACAGACAGACTGAGAACAGGCCCAAGTCTTTCATTTTGTGACAGCCTCACATTTGTATAATTTTAGTTAATCCTGGGCTTTCTGTTCCCAGTGCATTTAGGCATGAGTTATGCTGACACAAGATGAGATCAGACTTGGTGCTGCAGTGTCTTCAGGAATTTTTGGAAGAGGATGTTCCAGGAAAATTGGTAACTTCTCTTCTGCCCACCCCCTTGGAGAAAAAAAAATAAGAAAGCAACAACACCCCAGCACATCACTGGAGTATGCTTAAATGTTACAGAGGTTTCAGCCTCTCTTCTGCTGCACAACATCTGCTTCCTGCAAGTCTCCTGATTCTCTGACCATCTAAATTGGAAACAGTTTAATTATGGTTATTTATTTTGCTTTTAAACTGACCACATTATAAGACAAAGCTCACGCAACTCTTCTGTTTATAGTAGCACAGGAAGAAAAATATGCAAAGATGTACAAAAAAGGATAAGTGTTACTGAAAGCTGAGTAATAGACACAGTGTGAAATTCATGCAGCGCAGAATTACAGGTCTCCACGCACATATAAGCTCTAAAGCATGAATTTGTCGTTAGTCACATATGTTCTGAGCCATTTAGTATTTGTCCTGAAAAATCAAGTTTGAAAATAAATGTCTCTAATGTCCTGTGCTGAGTGTGACCAGGGAAACTGTTAGGGAAACTCAGGTACCAACAGAGCTCTGAACATTAATCACATTTTCCAGTTACGTTGTGGGGAAGTGCAATGACTTAGTTAAGGCCAGTCAGTATAAAGTCCCAGGCTTAAACTACCACACCCATCACACTGATAGTCAATTGAGTCAATGATTCAACCCAGATGGGAATCCAGGTTCTTCTTGGCTTACTGTTATCTCTTCTGCCCATTAGGTTATGTGACTTCCATGAGTTATTTTGCAGTTCCCGTCAAAAGAAAATAAATCCACATGATGCTATATGCTGCCTCCCAGCTGCAATGCAAAGTGGAATTTTGGACCACAGCGCTGTTTCCTGACTCATCCTGGATCCCCTCCATGTGACGTTGGATCCATCTAAGCTGGGGAGAGCAGAATAGAAGGGCTGTGCTTTTTTTTTTCTTTTTGATTTTTTCTTTTTTTCTATCACCCACTGTCAGATAACATGTGCATGTTCTCGCAGCATGTCTCCAGAACGTGGAAAAAGACCAACAATACCAGAGAGGGGCCTTTCTGAATACATAAGGATAGAAAGAATAAGATAAAAGGACTAAAGATTTATACATAGGGATTATTTAAATAATGACTCACTGCCATTGCTAAGTTTATAAAATACATAAAACCCAGACAGAAATGTTGGGGCAGGGGGAAGCTGTTGAGAAGTGTGACAGAGGTGCAGAACTATAAAAAAGTTAAAAATAGCACACCCACAGAGCAAAATTTCCTTCACACCTAAGTACAGCCACTACACTTCACATCTCATGCACATGGCTTTACTGTGAGCCTTTCTGTTGCTTGTTTGCAGCTGGAGGGAATCCAGAAAGCAAGGAAAACAAACACAGGGCACGTTCCTTGTATCCATCTGATTCAGTGACATTCAGCACACACCTTTGGCTCTTTGCAGGGGTTAAAAAGACAAAGGCCAAGCACAGCTCCGGCAGTCCCGCAGGCTGCCCTGCCAAGAGAGCGCGGTGGGAAAGCCTGCTTAACCAGCCCCAAAGGATTCCCTCGTGGAGGAAACCTCAAAGAGCACAGAGGTGGCTCACTGGCCAATCCCAGCTCCAGGGGTTTTAGCCAAAGAAATCCTGCCATGTGCTGGGAATTCAGCTGATTCCCAGCTGATGAATCAGGCTCTCTGCATCCACAGGTGACCGGCGTGTCAGCGGCACACAGTGATGCGACATCTGAGATTACAGCTGCTGGATTTTTAACAGCAAAAAGAATGAGAGGAAAAGCAGAGCAGGGATTAAAAAAGAATTCAGAAAGACATCATTATTTTGGCCACCCTGAGCTAACAGCAGGCTCACAGGGTGACTCCAATGTTTATGGCTTTCTGCCAGTCAAACTGTAAAGATCCTGACTGTGTGGGACATTCACTCCTCTGCTTGTTTTGTGACATGGAAAAAAGGCTGAGCATATACATCCCTTCTGCTAGGATCAAAATAAGGACAGGTGCTGCTGGGAGCATTTCATCCTTTGCCTTTGCTTTTCAGTATCTTGCTGTTTACATGGTTAGCTGCTTAATTATCACAACTTAATCTTTGAGTAATAAAGATGCAGCATCCTCAAACAATTTAAATGCTCTTTCCCAATGAACAGCATCTATTTCCATTTAACACTCAAGCTTAATTAAAACTTTCCCCCCCCAGGGCCTTGTTTCAATTAATTCAATTGCAAAATCCCAGCAGAATGAGCAGAATGTCCAGGCAGCAGCACAATTTGCGTAATGAACACAGTGGTATCTGCAATAAAAACATCACCTCTCAGAAAACAAGAAAAAAACCCAAAACATTGGGAAGCAGAGTAAGATCAGAGCAATTACGGTGTTTTGGAAGGTTGGTTGATGGCACAACCTGCAGCTGGGAAAGAAGGAGGCAGAGGCCAGTACTTGGGAGTGGGGTCAAAAAGATGAATCAGTATTCTGGGGATCTGACTGTAGCCACTCACCAAGACAAAGATGAGGGCAGGAATACAACTTGAAATTATATCTTCCTCATATCAATCACCTTACTCAGTACTACTGAGTGGCACTTCTCCCTTCTTGGCATTATTGTCCTGAAATCACCTACCAGCTTTTGCAATAGAAGTATTTTCAGACACAGCAGAGACTGGTGAAGCTGCTATTTCCATTTCTGGTTAAAGCACTCAACGGGCAGAGCCCACACACTGACTGTAGGGGACTGGGAATCACAGCACTGGTCTAGAGCACAACTCTCAGTGCTTCAGCACTGCACCTAATGGGAGCCTGTTCTGCTGCCCACACCCTGAGAATCCCTGCTGGATCAATCCAGTCCTAAGGAGAGGGAAAGCAAATTTAGTTCCTGGATCTCAGGCTAGTCTGGATGTCTAAGCCAAAATAAAGTTCAACTAAAAGTGAAGCCAAGCTGCTCAGCCTGATCAAGGCGAAAATGCTTCAATTTATGAGACATCTCAGAGCAGGACTTGTCTTGGAAATTTTAAGAAAAAGAGGTGTGGCACCTGCAGAATTTGGGTATCTCTGTTTGACAGTAGGTTTACAATTATGGACTAAAATACCCCAATTTCTCTTTAAAAGACTATTTAGACACCCAACTTTGATAGAAGACTTTGGCCATTATACTTTGCAGGAGATGATGTGCTTTTCTGGATCAAGCCCATAATAACCTAAATAAACTAATTAAAAGGCAAAGATGAAAAGTCACATCAATTAAACTAATGAGGACTTGAAAAACGGTAGAGAGGCGGCGTGTCATTAGCATTTAACACCTCCAAATGGTAAACAGCAAAATCAAGTCTCTTTACTTGTCCCCCAGATTTGCAAGTAAAAGAGAGAAAGTGACATGCTACAATTCTTCAAGTGCTTGCCTGCATCTTCCTGGCTCTGTCAGAGACACAGACACAGTGTGAACTGCTGCTCTCTCAGCTTCTGGTCCCATTTATCTCTATTATTTTTGGACAAGTTGCCCCAATTCAAATCAAAGTGAAGCTCTCTTTGAGGAAACATAGGTGGCTGCTCTGCGCTCCACCAGCACAGTCACCGATTACCTAACGCGCTCAGGAATGTTTCCCTTCTACAAGCAACAGCTTTCATTTTGCAATATTCAGTGCAAAACAAGGAGCTTTCCCACCCTGGGAGTTCCTTCACTCCCAAAGTGAAGCAGAGGTGGTCCCTGTGAGCAGGGAAATGTTCTCCTTTGGGCTGTACCCGGCCAGCCAGGTGCTCTGCGCTCCGGGGATGGGCGCGCTCAGCAGCCGCGCTCTCGGCGATGCTGGAGGACAGTGTAGAAAGGAAGGAATTCTGCCACCGCTCCAGCAAGCAACAGTTCTGCCGAGGAGCATGGGCTGACCATGCCTTGCTGCCTTCCCAGAGCCCGGAGCCACCGCTGCGGAGCAGGAACAGAAGCAGGGGTGCCGGGCTGAGCGCACCAACTCCTCTCCCATCTCACAGCCTTACCCGCTCCCAAAAAACTATTTCCTTCTCTCCCTTCATCCCCAAGCCCACCCCGGCAGAGCCTAAACCTTCCCTAAGCCAGCCCCATCTCCCGCTGACAGCGGGGCAGGTGGCCCGGGGACCGCCAGGTGCCGGCACCGCTCCGCTCCTGCCGGGGCAGCCCCGGGACAGAGCCGAGCGGAGCGTCCGGGACAGGCAGGGGGAGCGCAGGCACCTTCCCACACCGCCCTCCTCCCGTTCCCCGCGGCGCAGAAAGTGCCCCAGCGGCCGCGGAGCCGCGGGGCCGGCCGGTACCTGCCGGGGCCGGAGAGCGGCCGGAGCGCGGCGGGGCCGGGGCCGGGGCCGGGTGTCGGAGGCGTTGCGAGCGCGGCGGCTCCTCCCCGGCGGCGGCGGCAGCGGAGGGTCTCGCTCCTTCTGCGCCGAGTGTCAGACTTTCCCTCGGCCGCCCTCCCTCCATCCCGCCACCCCTTTCCACTCCCTCGCACGCACATGCACACCCCTCCAGCAAATGGGCTGCCGCCTGGGAGTGCGCCTGTGTGTCCGGGTGTCTGTCAGCCGCCGCAGGCACACCCCCCGCTCGCCGCAGGTCCCGCTCCCGGCCCGCCGGACGGGGCTCCCGAGCAGCGCCGGCTGCGCACTCCAACACCGATACTGGCAGCGATGTGCCCACCCGGGGACCCCCAGCCCGTGTGCCTTCCCTGGGCCGCAGCCCGCTCCGGATCACACACCTGCACAGGAGCATCCCGAGCTGTCTCTGGGATCGCCGTGCGCCGCTGCTGCTCCTCATGCACGTGGATAGAGCAGCCCCAGGTCCGCTCACGGTTTTCCCATGACACATTCCCTCCGGGACGGGACTGGCTTTGTAGACTGATTGAGTAAACAAAGCCAGCTCGCCACACTCACGATAAGTGGCCCGGAGCTCAGGGCTGGTGCGCGTTTGAGAGTTTGCCCGTGTGCAGAACTGTGGCTGCCAGGGGCACATCTGCATTCGCATTTATTTGTTTTGCCCCCGGAATGTGCTGCACTGGTGGTTCTCCAGCTTTCGCAGGCTGCAGACCACTTCCTAAGAGAGGATTTCTGTGCTGGACCAGCCCACTCCCACACCAAACCATTCTCTCCAGCACATTTCCTCCTGTGGCTGCCCGAGGAAGAGCCGTGCTGCCCGCAGGCCGAGCGCCACTGCACACATGGCACAGGCACTGTCAGACCCTTCCAGACAACACACACTGGGCTCCTTTCAAGAGCTGCCTTTCCCTCAGTGAAGGGCTCAGATTGAAAGGCTTCAGCTGGCAGCTCAGCTGTGGAACAGACCCCAACTGTTGCTCCCGTGAAATAACCGAGGGAGCCCAGAGAAACATATTGGAGTTTCCATCATGTAACTCACCTCAGCAGAACTTCATCCTGCGCCACCATTCACACACAAGTCAGATGGGTGGTCTGGGTATACAGGGACAGGAGCTAAATAAGAGGAGGTTTTTAGGTTCACCAAAAGTCAACTTCACACCTTTTTTACCTACGTTTTTTAAACAGTTTGTTACTACAGTACCAAACTGACATTGTTTTTTATAAATTCTACACATGCAAATACAGGCTGTACTTATCTACATGAGTTTTATATTCCAAAAAGACAAAGGGAGGAATTTGGAGATAGGTTTACTGTTGGCTTCTGCTGTTTAAGGCCTTCAGAAAAAGTGAAAGGAGATTTTATACTGAATTTCCACATTTGCATCATTGTCACTGGTAAAAGTTTCCATTGCTTGAATCTCCACATGGCACTGCTTAGTACAAACATAATTGGGATGAGTATGATGCAGATTTGAGCCCAGTTTGTGTTTTGAATTTCTGCAGAATAATTCTTGCACTTTACCTTGTTCCCATTCACTGAAGATCACAGGCACTCTGCTGATAACCCCCTTCTGCAAGTGTAGAAGCTCAACAAATAGAAAATGAGGAGCAGGTTGGTGGAAGAAAAATCTTTGTGGGTTTTTTGGTGTTTTTCAAACATTAGAACTACAGAATAGGGGTTGGAGGTCCTCTGAGAACATGAATCTTGATAAAAAGAAAATATGCTGCAAAATTTTGTTTTTTTCGTGTTCTGGAGATGTTTCAGACTCCTGTGAAAAAGAAATCAATCAGCATGAATGTTTCCTTTTCTCATTTGTGGAACAAGTCTACAGACTCTGTGAAATGTAGGGGAGAAAAATAAATGTTTTGGAAATGGTTTTATTTTAGCAGTTGGGGGGGTGTAATAAATAGGAGAATATTTGTCTTTCAAGAATCATAAACCCGAATAGAAGCTCTTCCTGAAGTGGATGAAAGCAGGAAAAAATCCGCCCTCTTGTGGCTGCTGGCTAAAGGGAAGCTGATAAAATAACTTTTCTCTGCAGACAGCAGGGAAGGAGAGCGCTTTTGTGAGCTCTGAGACAAGGTTACACGAGGTCATGCCATGGACACAGGCTGAGCAGGCATTCCCCATCTGCACAACATCATTATAAATGATCACTCCATGCATTCCTTGGCATTGTATTTTAAACCACTGCTCAAAATTCCCAGAGAAGATAAGCGCAGCTTTACTGGGAGACTCGGAGGGAATTTTACCTTTCTCAGCATGTGTGTTATTGCCACCTCTCTGAGTGATCTTTTGGGTCAGGACTGTGTTTGCGCTTAACAGGATGTTGGAAATGCCCCCTGAAACAGGAATTTCTGCCAAATTTACAGAAATGGTTTAAAGTTTCCATAGGAAGAGAAAGGCTCCTTCCCATGCTTTGAAGATGTGATGATTATAATGATGGTGAGGATGATGCCATTATTTTTTGTGCAGAAAGGACACTGACTATTGGATGGAAGAAGCATTCTACAGCTCATTTTAAACACGAATTTCAAAAGTGAGGGGGTTTTCTCTCTCTTTTTTTTTTTCTTTAGTAACTAATTTGGGGCTTCCCTAAGGCCAAATTCCACACAGTGCCCGGAGCAACTGTTCAAATTACCTGGTGCATGAAAGAGCAGAAGCTGAACATCAGATACCTGCATTTTTGTTTTCTCATCAGACAATAATATAAGCATGAATTAAATAAATGACCAAGCAGATTAACTGAAATGAGGGAGAGAAGTCAGCTATTTTTGTTACTTCCCATTTGCTTAATTTTGTGCTCGATCATTAATCTGAACAATGTCCAGACGCTGCAATGCCAAACTGGCATATTTTAGGCAAAACTATTTTCATGTGAAATTAATTGTCATGGTAAAGTAGACAGTGCTTTAGTAAAGACTGTGGGAGAAACACGAGACAGCAGCCTGCTGCCACACTGTAAGTGTTTATCCTTATGCTGAGTACTATTATTCCTTCTGTAAGCAGTGACAGAAATGTCTGCAGCATGATGCAGTGCAATGGTGTTGCCTAAATCCCTGAAGGAGAGGGATTGTTTTCCAAAATGTTGGGCTAAGTTGTGCCTAGTGAATCACTTCAACTACTCTGCATTTGGTGACTCTGAGGTCCTTCATGAGAAGGTTCCATCATTCATGTCCAACTCCGAAAATTTTCCAAGGAACCTCTCCCTCTTTACAAGCCCAAGGAATAAAATGTCAGTTTACACTGCTTGTTCCTAGCCATCCATCCCTGCACTTGCTTCCAGCAAAACAAAAAAATGTTAAACATGGCAGATAAAGCAACTAAAGACCAGAACTGATTTACCTTCATCTGCTGGAGAGCCAGATGAGCAGGGAAGGATCCAGAGGTGGGGCAGCCTTTGCAAGGATGAAGAGGGAGCAATCAGCTGGGCACAGAAATACAGAAATCACCTCATCCAGTCAGCCTCAAATGCCTGTTTGTGACTCAGCCACCAAATCTGCTTCCCTGGGGAGGCTTGGGTCACTAAATTCCTATGGTTACTGTGCAAGCACATTGGCAGACTGAGTTGCATACTTGCAGTAAAGTCAAATTTAAATCAAATGCTGTCCAAGAATCAGGATCAATATTCTCTGAAGACAACAAGTCGTATTTCCACTTCCAATAGTGGCACCTACATTGATTAATGGACTGTATAGAGAAGACTGTATATATATATACATATATATATATATATATATATATATATATATATACACAAATATATACACACACACATACCAGAGAGTTACTAGAAGGCAGGTGGTGGTTTAAAGAGGATAAATAAGAAAAAGAATAGTAAAGTATTGAATTTCCACCTTGCAGTCCATCAGGGGATAAAGGCTCTTTTTTTGCACTCTTTCTCCACAGGAATAGCCAGAGTTTGTCAATTTCCCTGAACTGATGCAGCTTGGCTGACCCTTGGGGGTCTCCAAAGAAAGACAAAGGACTTTGCTCTCTTCCTGTTCCACCACTTTGGGAAGAGGAGAATCTGCTTTACTGCAGTGTTGGTAATCATAATGTAACACCTGCACAGTAATGCTGATTTTATGTCTCTGGTAAAAAAAAAAACCTGGAAAATACCCTCCCCTATCCCTAATGATCCATAATGAAGCATTAGTTATTTTTGGACTCTAATTTTAATATAAGAAACAGCTTCTAAAATTGCCTCAGAGAAGAGAATGGAATTCCCACTGTTGCAGCTTTTTGATAAATATGTACCTTGAAAAATAACCTGCCTCCTTATACAAGTGGATGCTCACAGGGCTTCCTCTTTTCAGTCAGGAATGGATATCTGTCTGGAGAGATACAGAGATGTCAAGTAAGGGAATAGTAGCCCATTTTATAATGAAAGGCCTATGGCACAAGAAAAGTATGTGACTTTAATCAACTTCATTAAAGAGGTGGTATCAATAATCCCAGGGTCCTGGCCATGTCCTTCCTGACTGCTGCAAAAATTAACCCTGTTCTGGCCAAGACCTTGACAAGCATAAAGTGCATGTGGGATCTGGCCCAATTATGGTGAGAAGAATAAAAATTTTGTCTACAGATCACAAATAGTATGTCAAGAATAAAGTTCGTTGCATTTCCACTTATATCCAGGATAGGAAAGAAAATCAGCTTCTGAGAGGCCACAGTTCTATGAAAAAAAAAATAACTGAAGCTCATTTTCCTGCTTTGTATAAATTAAACTTCTGTATTTCTACTTCCAATGAAATCAGCTGTCGAACTAATTGGTTTAAGGCATTATCCTGGTCTCCCTCAATGGCAATGACTGCTGTACTGATTTATGGGCTTCAGCACCAAGCAGGGGAGGGTAAGCATAAAATCAGCTCTGAGCCGTGTCCAGAGAACTCCACTTCCCCTCAGTGGTGGCTGTAGAAATAGGAATTATAAACCCCTCATTTTAATAAAACATGAGTGCTATGACATGAAATAGTACCATGTATTTTCTTATCTCAGAACACAGGATATCTAGTTCTGTTTATCCTTAGCATGAACAAATCTTTGTGAATGCCTGAAAGTCGCATTTTTCCGGTGAAAATATGTACTTGTGGTTAACAGAAGACAAACATCCAAGCAAT